TCCCAGACAGTGTGGCTACTAGGCCTTTCCTTCGGCCTTAATGAATCTTTTGACTTCTCCTGGAATTTCAAATTCTACCTGTAAGTTCACGAACCACTTCCGGGTGAACAGTCATGAACTCTGCAAACAATAGGGGGGTGTGACGTGGCGCGCAACCAGAGCGTCCTCGGCCCGACGACGATGCTATTTTGAGCCCGCTAGAAGTAGAGAGAAATCTGCCCTAGCTGCGCTCCAAGTTACCCTCCCGCCATACGCCCTCATCGTTTGCAAGGATCATGACTGTACTTACATCAGACTGCGTTCATACCCTGCGCGTACATCAGCGTTTTGAGCGTACGCCAGCGTTAGCGACTAGGAAATGTGAATATTGATCTAGCAACCGCCAGTACAGCAGCGCAATTAGAGCTTCAGCAAAGCTTCCCCGAAAACGATGCAGTATGCTGGTTTTCGCTAGATCTATATCTACATTCTTACTAGTGGCTGGTTCAAAGTATTGACGCTGCCTCACCCTTTGCCGGGACCCGATCTGGCACCACACGCTCAAAGACTTTCCCTACAACGGTATTTTCATTGTCATTATCGCAAAACCTACTTATATTCCTTGGCGGCTTCTCTTGCTGAAGACATGGTAACAGGATAAGAATAGATTCACAATATCACAAACTTCACTGCGACAGTGTACCCGACCACTACTGCGCAAATATCAAAATCTGAAAAATCATTTGATCCATTTCTAGGCCACAAGACATAATATGCTTCGAAAAGTACGGAGTGACGACACTAAAAGCGAAGCAAACGACGATTGAGAGAGCGACACCTGAGCGACGCCAATCAACTCATCAATAAATCGATCATTTTATAGATGGGGAGCGCGTTGAAGATTAGCATGAAATTGGCCCTACTGCGACAGAGCGCTCCTCAACAACACCTCAGCCCTGCTTGACAGCAATAAATACATTTGTATGCATAAAGACGCAACGACAGCCTATTATTACGGATGTTATCACTCCCGGTTTTAATTTCTGGATGTAAAAAACCCTAAGAGGCGCTAACTACAAAGATCCAAAAGAGCCAAACGTTTTCGCAGGGAAAAGAACTCATTTCATCCTTCCTTCATATTTCTAAAATACCCAAAGTAATCAAAATAAAACTTTAGCAAAAACCTCTGAGGTTTTTCGAATCTTTGAAGATTTTTTTTGCTCTTAAAATTTTTGGAACCTCTCCATATTTGTCACATTCAGACCCCAATAAGCCTCAGAGTCCATACAACAAGTCCGTACAATAATAGGATTTTCCCTGTTTATAAACGGCTTTGGAGATGCACGATCGATCCACGCAGTTTTTTTTCCTGCAATTTCTCCAAAACGCAAGGCGTGCGGCGCAATGCCACTGTTTCCTATCTTCCACCAAAGTCCAATAAAAAACAAGATTGTGTGTGTGTATACATTTCCCACTAATTCGCCAATCCTTCAGAGTGGTTGCACGTCGTAGCTGACCGCTTGAAGATTGCGTTCATACTTCCCAAATCGCATAAAAAGGGAAAGGCGAGGGAATGTAAATTGAAGGTTTAGATTGGGTGGGCATCGAACTAGGCGTTTCTCGGAGCAAGACTCATCATAATTTTTTAGGATGTGGGCCAAGAGAGTAGAGGATGTAAATCGTCGCCTGCCGACGGGCCTTTGAGTAAAAAGGAGAACAAGTGAAAAGAAGTATGTGCACAATAGGGAACTGTGGGTGAAGACTTGCGTTTTGGGATACAGCACAACCAAGCGTTTCCTATCTATTTCTGTCGCGCCGATGGGCGTCGCGTGCGACGTT